GAGCAACCAAACATTTTTTAGACTATGTGGTTAGGGAGGGACACTTTCAAAAACTCACTTCTCCTTTATAAGCCCCTAACAAGTAGCACCTTTCTCTCAACGCTTCCATGAGTGAGAACATGTCAGCTGTTTCCCAGGAGATCCCTCAACTGCCCTCATCTCACCCTGACCCCTTCTAGTCATAGTTCCTCTTTCTCTCATGATTCACAGAACAAGGTTCACCCATCCCAAGACTAACACCCCAGCTGTGCTTCACATCACTCCTTAACCATTCCTCCTTGAAGCAGCCACATTTCTCAAGTTCTTGTTTCTCCGCCTCCCTCCATGATGTTCACCAAAGTGCAAGCATCTAAAAAGTCCAGGTACACAGCACTGACTCAGAGCCAGGTTGTTTGGATCCTGGACCTGTGCAACCTTGGGCAAGTGACTTAACCTCTCTGTGCCATCTAGAACTTGTGGATAACAAGATTACCCAACCAAGGGGATTGCTATGAAGATTAAAATCAATTAAACCAACTGCTTAGGACAGGGCCAGGCACATAGTAAGTGTTCTAAATGTGACTGTATTATTTTTATCTCCTTTACTGGAGAAACATTTTACTTAACCCCACTGCTCTGTGCAGATACCTTCCCACTTCCTTCTTTGATCCCAGTGTCCAGGTAACTCAGGATCAAAATCCTTCAATGGACTCCCCATTGTCTATCCTATAAGATAAGATAGCTTGGTGTTCAAGGCCTGCCCCTTCCTCTGTCTGGAATGCTTTCTCCCTCCTTCCCTGCCTGATCAACCTTTACCCATCCTTCCAGGCCCAGGTTCCATGATGCCTCCTAGAAGAAACCTTCTGAGATCACTGCCTCTTTACTGGGACCCTTGGTTTCTACTATTTCTAGCATTTCTCAAGTATAACCATCTACTATGTGCTTTCTCTTATCTACCATCCACTAAGTTTCTTCTTCTCTCCCTGTAATTACTTCTACAGCCAGATCGAATTGAGTGTTCACCAGGTGCTAACCACTGAAGTGCATGCATTATCTCAGCCAAGCCCTATGAAAAATGATGGAAGTCACTGTCCACATTTTACTCATGAAGCCTGGACAGCTTTGTAATTTACCCAAAGCCGCTAAGCCAGCAAGTGACAGAGCCCAAACTTAAAGCCACAGAGCTCGTTGCTTTAACCCTCATATTCCACAGCTGCTTGACTGCCTTGGTATCTGCCCCAGACTTAATACAATGAAAATAGAACTTAAGGAACTTGCACTTTGTAGACATTCCCTAAAGCAGATAACAGGAACTGAATGATCACATTTAGCCTCTCCCCCTGGGGACAGGCAGGTCAGAATATAAGGGCACAGTGCCAAGACTCGCAGAGAACCTGGAAGAGAGCAGGAGGCCCGGGCAGTACCTCCTGACACAGCTCCCCGCTTCTTCCAGCCTCAAAGCCGTGAACACTCATCCAGGTAGCCCCGGGCTCTTAGCTGATCTTATTTGACCTCCTCAGGAGAAGATCAAGAAGGGCCTCCTGGCTCCCATGCCTTTTGCCCAGCTCAGGCTCTGTGCTGGGAACACCAGTGTTGAGTGCCATGGTGAATGCTGCGAGCACAAGGCAGTGTGCCCACATAGGCCCTGCCCCATGCAACCTCCAGGCACCTGCCCAGGGGAATGGAGTCAAGGTCATCACTTGGCAGGGGTTAGCTTAAACCTCTCTTGGGCTTCATTCAGGAACAGGGCAAAGGGGAAGATGGAGGGGAGGGGAGGGGAGGGGAGGGGAGGATGAAATTGCTGCTTCTGCTACTACTACTATTACTACTACTACTGGCAGTCAGCACTGATTCAGTATTTACCCTGTTCCAGGCTCTGTTTTAAGATATTAACATGGATTATCTAATTTTATTTTCAAACCTTATGTGTGTTCACCCCATTTTTAAGAGACTGAGAAAGAGTGAGGTTAAGTTGTCCAGAGTCACACAGCTAATTCAAGGGTAGAGCCAGAATTTCAAGGCACTTAAAAGCTGGTGTTCATACTCTTAACACTATGCTCTACTGCCTCCCAAACTAGCCAAACTTTAAAGAGGAAGCCCCAAGAAGAAACATATGGCATTGCCCTCCATCCACACCCCAGAGACTCCAACTCTACCTTCTCCTGGTCAGCCTCTGAATCAATGCTGTTGAGAGCATTTTCTACCCGGGCCAGTCGTCCAGAGAGTGACAGCAACAGGTTGACCACTTTGTCCAGGTCTCCAATAAACAAACGGTATTTTTCAAACTCATTGGACTTGCAGACTGCCTTTAGGTTGGCTTCCACCTCTTCTCCAAGGGCAGAATTGGCACTGATGTCCTCCAGCAATCCTCGCTGGGCCTCCCGCAGGACAGAAAGTTTTCTGCCAATGCTTTCAATAAGCTGTATCTAGGAGAAACGAGGAGAAGGCAAAGGATGAGGATGGGGACCCACAGAAACTGATCTGTTCTTGTAACTTATGTTTTGGGATCCATGTAACAGATGATGGGCTCTACCCTACTCACTGGAAACAAAAGAAACCTGAGCAAGTCATGAGCAATTCCAGTTTTCAGGACAGCTACCATGTCTCTCATCTCTTAGAATCTGGGAGGAATCTCTGTTACTACCAAACTTCTTAGCATTAGATAAGTGGTATCCATGGGCTAATACCAAAGGTACTTAATAAATACTTGCTGAGAAAAATGAAACTAGACCACCTTCTTACAACTTACCCAAGAATAAATTAAAAATGGATTAAAGACTAAAATGTAAGATTTCAAACCATAAAAATCCTAGAAAAAAACATAGCAGTAAAATCTCAGACATTTCTCATAGCAATCTTTCTTTTTTTAATCTTTATTGTTGACAGTATTACAGATGTCCTCCTTTTTCCCCATTGATCCCCTCCACCCTGCATCCACCCCATCCCCAGGAATTCCCCATACCAATGTCTGTGTGCATAGGTTATGCTTATAAACATATAAGTTCTTTGATTAATCTCTCCCCACCCACACCCTCATCCCCACCTTCCTTCTGAGATCCCTCAATCTGTTCCATGCTTCTATGTCTCTAGATCTATTTTTTCCATCAGTTTATTTTGTTTATTACATTCCACATATGAGTGAGATCATGTGGTACTTGTCTTTCTCTGACTGGCTTATTTCACTTAGCATAATACTTCCCAGTTCAGTGCATGCTGTCCCAAAGGATAATAGATCCTTCTTTTTTTACAGCTGCATAGTATTCCATGGTGCAAATGTACCATAGCTTTTTTATCCACTCATCTACTGGTGATCCACTTGGGCTGTTTCCAGATCTTAGCTATTGTAAATTGTGCTGCTATGAACATAGAGGTGCATAAGTTCTTTCTAATTGGTGTTTCGTGTTTCTTAGGATATATTCCTAGAAGTGGGATCACTGGGTCAAATAGCAGTTCAACTTATATGCATATATGCATAACCCGAGGAAACTCCATTCTGCTTTCCACAGTGGCTGCACCAGTCTGCATTCCCACCAGCAGTGCACTAGGGTTCCCTTTTCTCCACACCCTCGCCAGCACTTGTCATTCATTGATTTGTTGATGGTAGCAATCTTTTTTTCTGATATATCTTTTTGGGCAAGGGAAAGAAAAGAAAAAATAAACAAATGAGACTACATCAAACTAAAAAGATTTTCCACAGCAAAGGAAGCCATCAACAAAATAAAAAGACAACCCACTGAATGTAAGAACATATTCGCCAATGATACACCTGATGAGCGGTTAATGTCCAAAATTTATAAAGAACTCAGACAACTTAGCACAAAAAACCCCACAGTCCATTTAAAATATGGGCAAAGGACCTGAATAAATGCTTCTCCAAAGAGGACATACAGATGGCCAGTAGACATATGAAAAGATGCTCAATGTCACTAATCATCAGAGAAATACAAATTAAAACCACAATGAGATATCACCTTACAGCTATCAGAATGGCTATCATCAATAAATCATCAAACAACAAGTGCTGGCAAAGATGTGGAGAAAAGGGGAACCCTAGTACACTGCTGGTGGGAATGCAGACTGGTGCAGCCACTGTGGAAAACAGTATGGAGTTTCCTCAAAAAACTGAAAATGGAACTGCTGTTTGACCCAGTGATCCCACTTCTGGGAATATATCTGAAGAAACCCAAAACACTAATTTGAAAGAATATATGCACCCTTGTGTTCATTGCAGCATTAGCTAAATTTTACAATAGCCAAGATTTGGAAGCAGCCCAAGTGCCCATCAATAGATGAGTGAATAGCCCTAGCCAGTTTTGCTCAGTGGTTAGAGCCTGCAGGCTGAAGGGTCCCAGGTTTGATTCCAGCCAAGGGCACGTATCTCGGTTGCAGGCTCAATCTCTGGCCCTGGTCAGGGTGCATGTGGGAGGCAACCACCTGAGAGGTCTCTCTCTCACATCAATGTTTATCTCTATCTCTCCCTTCCACTCTCTCTGAAAAGAAATGGAAAAAATATCCTTGGGTGAGGATTAAAAAAAATAGATGAGTGGATAAAAATGCTGTGGAATACACAATGGAATACGACATGGCTATAAAAAAAAAAAGAAGAAAATCTTACCTTTTGCTACAGCATGGATTGACCTGGAGAGTATTATGCTAAGTGAAATAAGCCAGTCAGAGAAAGACAAATACCATATGATTTCACTTATATGTGGAATCTAATGAACAAAATCAACAAAGAAAATAGAAACAGACTCATAGATACAGAGAGCAGAGTGCCTGCTGTCAGAGGGTAGAGGGGCTGGGGGCTGGGTGAAAAAGGTGAAGGGATTAAGCAAAAAAACCCTCATAGGCACAGAAAACAGTATGGTGATTACCAGAGGGAAAGTGGGTGGGGGAGGTGGAAAAGGGTAAAAGGGAGGGTAAATGGTGACAGAAGGAGACTTGACTTTGGGTGGTGAACACACAGTACAATATACAGATGATGTGTTATAAAACTGTATATCTGAAACCTATATAATTTTATTAACCAATGTCACCCCAATAAATTCAATAATAAACAAATACTTGTGGAGACTGTTTAATAAACAGGAACTGGAATGCTTGTGAAAACATAGGTTAAAAAAGCATTGTCATCAATTATTTGCCTGTTTCTTTATTCATTCTCCTATCCATTTAAGTACCTCTAATGTTAATGGCATTGTGTTAGATTTTCACCCCCTCAGTTTTGCTTTTGAGGTCTTTTTGAAAACAGTCTGAGTTCTGGAGTTGCAATGATTACGTTCGACTTATAACTCTGCCATTTCCTAGCTGTGTGACCTTAAGTGAAATTTTTTATGAAGTTTTACTTTCTTTATCTGCAGAATGGGAACAACTGCAGTACCTTCTTCAATGAATTGTAATATGGATTCAATGTGATGATGAATGCAAAGGGTTTAGCACAGACTGTGTGCTCAGTAAAAGATGAATGCTATTAATATATTATTATTCAGTTTGGCCTCACTCTACCATTCTAATCTCACTCCTCAGAACCTTTCAGGATTAGCTCCTCACCTTCCTCTGTGTTTACAGCTCTCATTCCTGTGTTCCTGATTTGTTTATGCAGTTCTACCTGTTCTTTATCTCTTCCTTCACTTTAGCTAGTCCTATTCTTTCTTCAGAGCTCAGCTTTGCCCCTCTCCTGCCCACTGAAAGCCCCTACCTCCATAACTCTTCTCTCAATGATCTTTTTCTTTTCTGAACTCTCCAGTCTTTTAGAATTAGAAACCTACAGTATAATTTGAAGTTGCTCACTTTCTGTTTCATGTGGGTATGCCTGATCCCTTTCCTAAAACTGTAAGTTTCTTGGGGGAAGCACAGCCTGTGTCTTCTGATTTGTCTCCCCTATAGCCAGTTCTGGGACTGCATTCACAGGAAGGTAGTGTGGTAGAGTTGTGAACTCAGAGATACCTGGATTCCAATTCTACCTCCTCAAAACTGCATGACTTTGGGTGAGATACCCAGTCCCACTGAGACTTCTGTTTCCTCATCTGTAAATTAGAGAAGTGCCTCCTCTCCTCCCATTCCCTATTCTTGTGAGGGTTAAATTATATCATAGAGGTAAAATACTTAGTAATGTGCCTGGCACATTATGCACTCAATACATGTTCCATAATGCTGCTGCTGTTGTTGTTATTATTTTTATCACCTGGATATTACTACTACTATTACTATCTGGGTTTGAACTCCAGTTCTGCCATTAAGTAGTAGAATGAACTTGAACAAATAACTCAACCTCTCTGTGCTTCAATTTTCCCATCTAAAAATAGGATAATAGTACCTACCTCATAATGTTGTTATGAGAATTAAATGAGTTAGTACATGTTATGTGCTTAGAACAGTATCTTGTATATATGAAGTATGCTTTGATTTTATTATTATTTTATTATTGTTTTATTATTATCCCTGCCCAGGAACTCTGGGACCATAAGCTTGTATTTTTCTAGAGTATGTTCCTTTCTAGTACTTTCTTTAGAGATATCCAAGGTACTGGTCAACATTCAGGAGATTGCCATGATCTTAGTCTGAAGCGTAATAGGTTTACATTTAAGGGAAACTCCAAAACCCACTGGGAATGAGGGACCAATGATACGAATGAGGCAACACAATTAGATGCCAAGAGGTTCCCAGTTATTTCTTATCCTCTTCTCTCCCAAATAAAACTCAATGCCAGGGACAAAGGAGGGTGGGGGGCCAAATGATCAACCTGGAAAATCAACTACCCATCCCAGCTCTTAGGTTCCATAGTTCTGCTAGGATGAAAGTGGAGACAGCCCTTTGTTTCTTGGCACTTGGGCTTTGCAACCTGAACTTCAATCCTGGTAGAGCCATGGAGTCATCACAGACCCAGCTAGAGCTGAGCTGCTTTTCTGGGATATTACAAATCAGTATCATTCCTCACTGTCTTCCTCAGAGATAAAAATTGTTCCAGCCCACCCACAATCACCTCAAATCACTATCCCCCGTTCTGTGCTTTACCATTTCTGATCATTCTTCTCTTCTTCTGGTCAGACTTTTATTAGGTTTGCTCCTAATACAAAAGGTCCTAAGTAAGGCAGAAGAAGCCCAGCCATGATCAGGGAACATGGAATCCAAGGAAACAGGCATCTGGATCAATACATCTTTGATACCACCATGCTTCTAATTCTTTCCTTGACATTTTGTTTCAGATTGGAAAGTGGTGGTGAGGTCTTTTGTAAATGGCCTTGAGCTTTCCTACAGGTCATATCCTGAATGAGAAATATGGGCAGATGACTAATTTACATTGAATTCAGATGTCCTCAAAGTGGTAAATTGGGCCTTTCAGGTTGCCATGGAAACCCAGTTGTTTATGAAATAAAATGGCTAAGTGCAGGGAGGGCAAAGTGATTCCAGGAATTTGATTAGACAACCAGGCTAGTGGTACTTAGAGGAAGAAAGGGGAGGCTATGCAACAACAACATTTCCATTTATCTATTTAACATTTTTAAGAGATTGCTGACTATCATTGCAAATAAATACTAAAGTTTACCAGCTTATAATTTTTCCTGTTTTTGTTGTTGTTGTTGTTGTTGTTGTTGTTAGTCTGTTCTCTCTCTCAGAAAGTATAATCAATGATTGCCATTGGTTAGTGCTCACTGGTAAAAATTCTGATGTGCCTTGGGCAGCGAGTTACTTAACAAGGCTAACTTCAGAGGGATGGCCCAATAGAAAGTCAAACAGTCTTGACTTCAAGTCCTGGATCTACCACCTAGTCTATAACCCTGGGCAACTTAGTCCTTTCAACTGGTAAAAAGGGGATAGTAATGTCTACCTTGCAGAGTTGTTTTAAGGATTAGAGAGACATTGCAGTGATGATTATGATTACTACTACCATGATTATTATTGACCAGATCGAGAAGAGCCTGGAGTTGCGTTTGTGAGAAACCCAGACAGCTATTTAATTTCCAGACTGAAAATACAGGAATGTACCAAGATGTTCTAAAGAGCTTAGAGGGCAGGGCAACCTCCAGACACACTCAAGCTAAATGCTGAAAATTTCTAAGGCATATAAAAATTTCACCTTTTTCTGAGCCAGTTCATGGTCAACTTCCTCCTCTCCTAGGCCAATCTCTGCCATCTCGGGTTGATCTTTCAACTTGTTCAACAGCTCTGCCTTGGCCACAGAAATATTGTAATAAGCTGAGTAAGAGGTAGAGATCCCTGGGGCCCCCTGAGGAGGCGAGAAGTGCTGAAATTCTTGTCTGTGGGAACAAAAAAATGACCATTTGAACCTCTGTTGAGAGGCTGCTGTCCTTTCTGCTTCCTAGCTTCCCTATTTGTAATGCAGTGGGACCCTGCTTCACCAATAAGTTGTAAAATAAGGAAATAATGGACCAGGAAGCACTTTTCAAATGTAAACAGACCACATAAAGGCTACCTAGAAGCCAAGTCAAGGCCAATTTTAAGAACTTAAAAGGCTATTTCCTTGTCCCTGACTTCTGCAGCTACAAGGACTTCTTTAGGATAATTTGGTTTGGTCATTGGCACCCCACTAAAATCCAGAAAAACTGACAGGCCCCTAAAGTTCTGGGCTTATCATTGATGACTTCCTTTGGTTCATGGCCCCAGTATATGGATATGGGAGGGGCTAAGTGGTAGGGATATATCTGAGACCTTAGCTATTTGTCTTCTAAGCCTGCTGGCATCCTCATGCCCATCCTAGACTCTGCTCACCCCAACTCTATCTAGTCTGCTTGCTTATAAAGTCACCCTGTAGCTTTCCTGGATACTCTGATCATTTCTTCTTTCCCGGTGGTACAACTCTTACTTGAAATGGCCCCTCCACTGCAAACCTCCCACAGCAAAGAGGTCACCCATGACCTCAGCAGTGGTCACTATGTTGGAGGCTGGGGTTAGCTCCCCTGCCAGGGACTTGTCACGACCCACTACATCTCCCATGAGCTCTTCTGAGACTGCCTTCTGTGGAGCAGGCCTTCTGCCTGAGAAGGAATAGAGTAGAGATACTTCTGGTATATCCCAAATGGCCCCAGCTTCCTCCATAGTTGCAGAATAAAATAGGGGGAAATGGAACCAGTGTCACCCAGGGGCTTGACAAGTATAGCAGCAGACCCTGTTGTCTTGGGTTCACTGAAGCCCACGGGGCTGAGGTGCTGCTTCTCGGAGCGCCAGCCCATGAAGGAAAACTGCTCTTCAGGAAAGAAGTAGCTTTGGCTCCATGCTGGCTTGGGTTTGGAGTCTTCTGCCATCAAGGATTCTGGTCTGGTGTGAGGAAGGAAATAAAAAAAAATGCTTCAATGTTGGGCTTCGGGGACAGACAGGCAAATAATTCCACCCATGATTTATGCAAGGGAGAGGCCAACCCCCTCTATATTCTTGTTGCCTACCAGCCACCCCCACTCTCCACCTGTCTATATCACTGCCCCTTTGCTAACCTCTAGCTGTTTGAAAGGAAAAATAGGAAAAACTCATTAGTCACTTTTGCAGCTATTTGCAGCTCTTAGATAAAGGTCAAAAATAATGGTTAAAATGCTCCACAGCTATTTACTGATTCATGCTTTGCTGTCTCCTAATTCATCACACAAAAGAAACTTGAGCATGCCAACATTTCTCATCCTAGGTATTCATTTACATGTAGGCTTTTAAGCTAGTAACACTGATAAAGGAACACTATTAACTAACACACAGTGATTCTGATGTCCCAGAAACTGTCCTAAGATGGGGGGGGGGGATATAGATACAGATATAAAATTCAATGCTCATGACAACCATTTTACAGATAAGGAACATGAAGCATTGAGAGGTAAAGTAACTTTCCCAAGGTCACCAGACAGTAAATGACAGACCTGTGATTTAGACCAAGGTGACTTAACGCCAGAATATGTGCTTTTTGCAAAATAAAGAATATGTTTTTATTGAGTTTTTAGAGAGAGAGGAAGGGAGAGGGAGAGAAACATCAATGTGAGAGAGAAACATCTATCAATTACAGGGATCGAGCCTGAAACCTGGGTATGTGTCCTGACCAGGAATTGAACCAGTAACCTTTTGGGGCACGGGATGATGCTCAACCAACTGAGCCGCACTGGCCAGGGCCAGAATCTGTGCTTTCAGCCACTATCTTATACTCCCAAAGGGACAACTTGACAGCACATAAAGCCCTACATGTAAAAATTTTTCTGACTGAATTATATCTATGTTAGCAGAGAAAAGAGAATATTCTGGAGGGCATATGAACATGTTGGATAGGGAATTCTTATCTATGAAAAATATTTAGGGAATATGTGAGTGTTCTGAGTCAGAAAGTGCTGAAAGAAAGTATGAAATATTTTTTTAAGAAAAGGATGTGGCTATATGTCAATTATATCTCAATAAAACTGGAAAAAAAATTTTAAAAGGATGTGCTAATTAGAGACACAGTTTGCCAGAAGACAGAGCCCTGTATCATATTCTAGTGTATTATATTAGGCACTACTTTCTAGGGCTCCTTTCCTCATAATCTCCATTAATAGGCCAGGGGTTACAGGAGATCTGAGAACACAATCTGAATTTGATAATAGATTCTGAAGCCAAGTTCAGATTCCTTCTACATAGTACTGAAAGGAAATGCATACAGTCCATAAAGCAAGCTATACCTGCACCTGAATCAGTGTTATTAGATTTAACCAACACTCAATAATTCCACTAACCTGCTTCTAAATGTATCCCAGAATTTTATAACTGAATAGTATGTCAGTTACAAAGATAATCTGGGTTAATTTGGCTGAAATTAGGACATCTTTTTTCCCCATCTTTTTTTCTTTTTAGATTCAAAGTATTATATATCTACTTGCCCCTAACACTATCCTCCCTTACAAAATCTTAACGCCACTTCCTTCTGGTTAGAACTCTGTGCTCTCTAAGGATCTGGAATAGGTTCTTCTTGAGGAGTCCAGAGATGCTGGGATGATGTAGTGGCCACAGTGAGCCAGATTACCTGGGTTCTGGCTACCTGTGATGTTCTGCAAGTTACTTTATCTCCTTGTGCCTCACTTTTCTTATCTGAAATGCAGACTGGTGCAACCACTATGGAAAACAGTATGGAGGTTCCTCAAAGAATTAAAAATGGAACTGCCTTTTGACCCAGTGATCCCACTTCTAGGACTATATCCTAAGAATCCTGAAACACTAATCAGAAAGAATATATGCACCCCTATGTTCATAGCAGCACAATTTACAATAGCTAAGATCTGGAAACAGCCCAAGTGCCCATCAGTAGATGAGTGGATAAAAAAGCTGTGGGACATTTACACCATAGAATACTACACAGCTATAAAGAAGAAGGTTCTTGTACCTTTTGAGACAG